TAATTCACACAGCCTAGTCCTTGCTAGGAAATAAAGAGCCTATTGCAGAGGAACAACCACGCGTTCAATACTTGACGGGCAGCTGTGAAGTTTAATAGCTCCACTGAGTGGAAATAAGCCAACTCACACCAGTCGAGCATCTTTCTTTAGTGTCTCACTATTAGGATATGCTCGGTGGTGCTAGTTTGATGCTCCTTGTTGAATGTAGGTTTACTGCCACCTGTCAGGTCAGTCAGTTTTCAAGCTGCACTTGCTGACAGGCCATCAGATGCTGTCAGTTTCTCTCCAACTCTGAAAATGAAACAGATTTTGAAAAAGTCTTTGGGGACTTGACATAGTGCCTCAGAATATTAAGGAGAGCCATGAAGTCAACTTCTTGATAACAGCTTTGACAATGTGCATTATTCATTGTTAACTGTCATAAGGCTGAACTCTGTTCTGATTCCATGCGTGTGCTTAGCTCTCTTTTTTTTAGTAAGAGTAAATATACAAATACCATATTACATTATTAGTGTTGCATCTTCAAGCAATAAAAAAAAAACTCTGTATACCCTGTGGCAAGGGAAAATGAGGATGATGGGCAGCACTTACAGGAAAGGATGAACATAATTGATAATTCTGGTTGCCAAGAAAAAGGGTATTTGACTGTATGTGGGGAGGAACAGTGGAAATACTCCTGGGATGCCAGCCCTTGCCTGCAGACATCAGCTGAGCAATTCTTTCTATGGCTGATATAGATGTAGAAAAACAGCTGTAATTTTACACTTACATTGTTAAGTCAGAGAATTTTGTCTGGAGTAGCAGAGTGTATCCTGTGATGCCTCCTTCATATTTGTGAGTCAGGCATTGAGTAATTATATGTTCCATGGTCTGGTCTTTGAGACCACAGTCACACACTGAAGAGTTTTTCATTTTCCACTTGTGCAAGATCTCTATCTACCATGTTTTGTGCAGATGCCATTAATGGTTGCCCATGAGCTTTGTGGGAGATTAAAGCCAGGGATCTTCTGCATTGGGTCTTTCACAAGGGGCTCGTCTACACTGGCCCCTTTTCCGGAAGGGGCATGTAAATTTCAACTATCGTAGTAGGGAAATCCGCGGGGGATTTAAATATCCCCCGCGGCATTTAAATAAAAATGCCCACCGCTTTTTTCCGGCTTTTAGAAAAGCCGGAAAAGAGCGTCTACACTGGCCCCGATCCTCCGGAAAAAGCGCCCTTTTCCGGAGGCTCTTATTCCTACTTTGAAGTATGACATATGACAACTACGTTTCAAAAATGCAGCCCATGGAGGTTGATTGCTTGGGTTAACCTTGAAGGCCTCTCAGAAGTTGCAACTGCTGTGCTGGGTCATGGAGAATAAGCCAGTCCCTGAGACAGTTGGGCTTTTGTCTAATTAGGGAGTTGCATGCAGATGAGAATGCCGGTACTTTGAACGGGACCCAAGAGTGGATGGAGAACCTATGCAGAGCACCATGCACCAATGAGAGATGTTCTTCACTGATTATTGTCTGTCAAGTTGAGGCCCAGTTTCTGATCCTGGTTCTTATGGCAGATCCAACTGGCAGGGAAACCCGGTATTCAGCTCTTGGTACATTATAATGGCTGAGTCCAGACTGATCTCAATGGTGGGCTTATGTCTGAAGGGCTTTCTGCTACTAGAGATTCAGCTGAGCTCATTCCCTTTGTGCAGTAGTTGAAAAGCACTCTATAAGACTAGGTATTATTATATTATTTTAAACTACACTATGCTAAGCACTTGAATGCACTGTCAGAAACTATCATCCATTGGCCAGGCATGACTTAGAGCTGTAGACCATTGAAGGCAATTCATAAAATCAATATGTCAGCTTGAACAATTAAGAATTATCAGCACAAAAAACTGCCACTTATCTGAGACTAATAATCATTAGTCAATCTGCAGTAATAAGATAAACAGATTTGACACTAGGTCTAACTGTGCACTGTAGTTTAGCAAATGTTTTATTAAAGGTAAATAATTAAGTAATCAATTACCACTCCTTCATTCCTATGACCAAAATCATGATACTGACCTGCATGTCTCAAAGCCATGGGTGTTGGGTATGTAAGGCGGGGGGTGGGGAAACCTTTGCCTTCCCAAACCGTCAGGCATAGCCCTGCCCACACTCCGCTGTTGCTGCCTCCAGCGCCTGCTCTCCTGGTGCTCCAGGACTAGAGAGGCCAGGCCTGGCTGCATGGTGTGGCCTCCTCATAAGAACATAATAACGGCCGTACTGGGTCAGACCAAAGGTCCATCTAGCCCAGTATCCTGTCTGCCGACAGTGGCCAGCACCAGGTGCCCCAGAGAGGGTGGACCGAAGACAATGATCAAGCAATTTGTCTCCTGCCGTCCCTCTCCAGCCTCTGACAAACAAGGCCAAGGACACCATTTTATCTCCTGGCTAATAGCCTTTTATGGACCTAACCTCCATGAAATTATCTAGCTTCTCTTTAAACTCTATTATAGTCCTAGCCTTCACAGCCTCCTCTGGCAAGGAGTTCCACAGGTTGACTATGCGCTGTGTGAAGAAGAACTTTCTTTTATTAGTTTTAAACCTGCTACCCATTAATTTCATTTGGTGTCCTCTAGTTCTTCTATTTAGGGAACTAATAAATAGCTTTTCTTTATCTCCACGCCACTCATAATTTTACATAGCTCTATCATATCCCCCCTCAGTCTCCTCTTTTCTAAACTGAAAAGTCCCAGTCTCTTTAACCTCTCCTCATATGGGACCCGGTCCAAACCCCTAATCATTTTCGTTGCCCTTTTCTGAACCCTTTCCAAGGCCAAAGCATTTTTTTTTGAGGTGAGGAGACCACAACTGTACACAGTATTCAAGATGTGGGCGTACCATAGTTTTATACAGGGGCAGTAAGATAGTCTGGGTCTTATTTTCTTTCCCTTTCTTAATAATTCCTAGCATCCTATTTGCCTTTTTGACCGCCGCTGCACACTGCGTGGAAGTTTTCAAAGAACTGTCCACGATAACTCCAAGATCTCTTTCTTGATTTGTCGTAGCCAAATTAGCCCTCATCATACTGTACGTATAGTTGGGGTTATTTTTACCAATGTGCATTTCTTTACACTTATCCACATGAAATTTCATTTGCCATTTTGTTGCCCAGTCACTCAGCTTGGTGAGATCTTCTTGGAGTCCCTCACAATCTGCTTCTGTCTTGACTATCCTAAACAGTTTAGTATCATCTGCAAACTATACTACCTCACTGCTTACCCCTTTATCCAGATCATTTATGAATAAGTTGAACAGGATTGGTCCTAGGACTGACCCTTGGGGGACACCACCAGTTACCCCTCTCCATTCCTCCCTCCCCTAGTGCTCCGGGGCTGGAGAGGCTGGGGGGGGGTGGCCCACCTAGCACAGCATGCCCTGCCTTCCCCCTCCCTGGTGCTCCATTTAGACCCCAGCCCAGCCTCTCTAGCTGCAAAGCACCGGGGGAGGGAGGAGGCAGGGCGTGCTGCACCATGTGGCAAGGCCCAGCCTAGCCTCCTTCTTTCCTGGTGCTCGAGAGAATGGGCCAGACTGGGCCAGGCCAGACGGCACAACGTGCCTTCCACCAGAGTTAGGGAGGCTGTGATGAGTGTACGCCTGCTCCCTTTCCCTTCCCGTTGTTGGAAGGGGGGATCACACATATGGTATGCTGCCCTGCCTCCCTGCCATCACCGACCGCCCATGCTCAAAGCCATAGCAGTCCTGGATGCCAAGTATGAAATAAAGCTGTTTCTAAATCCCAAACAAATCTGGTAGTTTCATATCCTACTTTATTTCTTATTTATTTTGTATGTCCACCATAAGCCTTTCACCATAGCCTAACTAACTAAGTTTACCAACCCCTCTTCCAAAATGGAAGACTCGTTAAGAGGCTGTAAGGAGTCTAGGGCAGCAACATGGCCTCCCTCCAACCTGGAAGAGGAAGGGCCCTCTAAGACCCCTTGGTGGGCAGGTCGAATCTCACCCAGCCCCGCCCACAGGAAGCTGGAAAGCGGGATCAGGGGTATAAGAGCTCAGAGCTCAGTTGGAGTCTGGTGGTTGAACAGGCCAAATGCTTGGCCTCAGCTCCTGCAGCAAAGTCCCAGCTACGCTGCACTGGGAGGACTGCATTGGACCGCCAGGATCCCTGCTGACCCCCAACGACTGGCCCGGGCTGCTGTGCTAGGTGGGCTGCCATGGCCCAAAGATTCGATGACGCCTCCAAGACCCCTGCCAGGCCCCAATGACTGGACCAGTCCACCTGGGCCCCTACCTGAGCTGGAACCTATGGACACTCTGCCAGCACCTCCATCCCCAGCTGACCCCGAGGAGCAGCGCCTGAGCCAGGTAGGCCCCCAAGGGTCCTAGTCTGGGATGCAGTGGGGTGGGTGGGCTTGTGTACCCCCTGCCATCCCTCCCCTTGGGTGGCAGGTTTCCCCTTGTGGGGGCAAAACTCCTGTGCTCTCTGCCAGCGAGGAAACCTGACTCTCACCCCGTTGGGACCCGGCTGGAGCCTTAAATTGTTATTGAACCACTCTTGGTAAATTTTTGTTTTTCCACCCTGCCCTGACCCAGGGCTGGGCCTTACAAGCTGCTTGCCCAGTCCGTGCCCAGGCTGGGCCCTTAATTGTTAATCCATGGCTCTGCCTGAACTGGGGGGCTCTGAGGGCAGGAGGCTGGCACTGGGGGGGTTGGGTGCAGAGGACTCTGGGGTCAGTGGCTGGCGCTGAGGGGCAGTGGAGGAGTGGGGGACTCTAGGGGTTAGAGCTGGCACTCTAAGTCTCAGGGAGCATATGCTTATTGGGTAGTCGACTAGTTGTCTATTCCCTTACATCCCTAGTTTGTTTTATCCGGGAGGTCAAACCAGATGATCACAATTGTTCCTTTTGGCCTTGGTGTCTATGAATATTATGTAAATACAAGCAAACAAAAAGCAGCTCTACTGTATTTCTTGTCGATCTCAGGGTAAAGCTTGCACAGGTCATACGTACCACCTGGAAGACTCCTGCCGCCTTGACAGGTCTAAATCCCGCAACAGGTACACAGTGATCAGCGTGGCCATTACAAAAGCAGCTCCCCTTTACAATGAAATCATAGATTGCATAGTGTTGGGACTGCTGAGGCTTTGCATTCAGGTCATTGCTCTGACAGGGACAGGCCTGCCGCTTAAGCAGCTGCACTCGAAGATTGGTGATCTTCAGCTGTGCCTGAGCGTCAGCGCTGTACGGGTCCTCCGCCGAGTAAGGTGGTGACAGAGCTCGGAATATAACCTGAACAAAGGAGAGCAGAGACAAATCCGTAAAGAAGAACAGGGGAAGTGAGCTGGAGTCTTTCTGAACATCTTGCCTCTGGTTTGATTTACAGGGCCGTCCGTGACATCTGGAATTGACACACCATTAAGATGTGATGAGGTTTTTATCACACCTGGGGAAGGGTTGCCTTTTGTTATGTTATGGAACAGCTGTCCCCCATGGTGCACGAAAGTAATGAGTTAAGTAATCAGCAGGGGGACTGACAGATTTTCCAGGTCCCTGGGCAAGGTGGTGTGGAGGCTGCCTCCATGCTCCCAGAAGGGGCGGGGTCTCGGGCAGATGGGGACAGCCAGCTCTCAGGGGACAGCCACCCACACCGCGCTGCATCCCCCCCAGCCAGCCCTTGATGCTGCCTGGAGCACAACACCTGGGGCTCCAGTGGAGATTTAAAGATCCCAAGGCTTTGACTGCTGCCACAGTAGCTGCAGTGACAGAGGCCAAGATCCAGGGGCACTTTTGAATTGCCAGGTTCCAGGGCAATTGCCCTCTCTGCGCCCCCGTGCGGGCCTTGTGTTGAGATTCCCAGTGTGCTTGTCCCAGCTGCAAGGTAGTGGGGGAACAAAGTCAGTTTTATCCAGGGGAGAAGTATTCTTGTTCTTTTTAAAACGTCAGAGTCTGATTCTGGAAACACTTAGGCTACGTCTACACTGGCCCCTTTTCCGGAAGGGGCATGTAAATTTCACGAGTCGTCGTAGGGAAATCCGCGGGGGATTTAAATATCCCCCGCGGCATTTAAATAAAAATGTCCGCCGCTTTTTTCCGGCTTTTAAAAAAGCCGGAAAAGAGCGTCTACACTGGCCCCGATCCTCCGGAAAAAGCGCCCTTTTCCGGAGGCTCTTATTCCTACTTCAAAGTCCTATACTTCAAAGTCCCTCCTTTGAAGTAGGAATAAGACCCTCCGGAAAAGGGCGCTTTTTCCGGAGGATCGGGGCCAGTGTAGACGCTCTTTTCCGGCTTTTTTAGAAGCCGGAAAAAAGCGGCGGACATTTTTATTTAAATGCCGCGGGGGATATTTAAATCCCCCGCGGATTTCCCTACGACGACTCGTGAAATTTACATGCCCCTTCCGGAAAAGGGGCCAGTGTAGACGTAGCCTTAGAGTAGGTCTCCACTGCAATTAAAAATCCAAAGCTGGGCTGTTTCAGCTCACTCGGGCTCCCAGGGCTCAGGCTAAGGGGCAATTTAATGAATGTCTAGGCTCAAATCTAGGCTGCAGCTCAGGCGTTGGGAAGTAATACTGAAGTCAGTGGGCTTATTCACAACAGTAAGCAGTACTTGAAGTACTGAGTGTTGGCAAGAATGGGCCCTAAGAACGTAAAAAGTTTTTGTCCATTTGCTTATTAACTCCCACTCCCTAGACTGGGTATATTTTTGGCAAATAAAGCACAGATTTCCAAATATTTGGCTCATGTCAGACTCAGGGTGCTTCCTAGTATAAGCCCGTATGCAGGAATTTCTGTGGGGGGTGCAAGCGTGGGAGGGGCTGGTGGTTGCCCTGCCCCCGGGGCCCTGTCTCCAGCCTCACTCCTGAGGGGCGGGGGCAGGAATCAGCCCCAGCCTTCCCCCAGCCAGCTGGAGCATAGGGGACAATGGGCTGCCCCTGCCTCACGCTTACTTGGAGGACCATGAACATAAGAACATAAGAACGGCCGTACTGGGTCAGACCAAAGGTCCGTCTAGCCCAGTATCCTGTCTACCGACAGTGGCCAGCACCAGGTGCCCCAGAGAGGGTGGACCGAAGACAATGATCAAGCGATTTGTCTCCTGCCATCCCTCTCCAGCCTCTGACAAACAGAGGCCAAGGACACCATTTTATCCCCTGGCTAATAGCCTTTTATGGACCTAACCTCCATGAATTTATCCAGCTTCTCTTTAAACTCTATTATAGTCCTAGCCTTCACAGCCTCCTCTGGCAAGGAGTTCCACAGGTTGACTACACGCTGTGTGAAGAAGAACTTTCTTTTATTAGTTTTAAACCTGCTACCCATTAATTTCATTTGGTGTCCTCTAGTTCTTCTATTATGGGGACTAATAAATAACTTTTCTTTATCAGCCCTCTCCACACCACTCATGATTTTATAGATCTCTATCATATCCCCCCTCAGTCTCCTCTTTTCTAAACTGAAAAGTCCCAGTCGCTTTAACCTCTCCTCATATGGGACCCGTTCCAAACCCCTAATCATTTTAGTTGCCCTTTTCTGAATCCTTTCCAAGGCCAAAATATCTTTTTTTGAGGTGAGGAGACCACATCTGTACACAGTATTCAAGATGTGGGCGTACCATAGTACCATAGTGGGGGATACTTTCACACCCTTCGCACCGCTACTGCCTATGGGCCTGTAGTGTGAAAGTGATTAGGTGTGGTGAGTAATAACAATAAGAAGATAATCCAAAGGACTGAGATAGGAAAGAAAGAAAGTAAAACTGGGGGCCATTTAGGTTTAAGCAATTACCATTTAGTCTTTATTTAAATTCAGTAGGACTGAATAGGCAAAAATTGTTTTAATTGGCGAGCACTAGATAAAAATTACTAATTTTCTTGATGAGGCTTATTTGGAATTTGTTAATATAATTGTCTACCCAGTGTAATATCAGAAACATGTAATGTATTTAATCTATTACTTCATTATTATTGGTATGATGTTACACTTTATGTTAAAGGTACATTTAAAAATCACTTATAAGAGGATAATGAATAATACCGTATTTTAAAAAATATTTGAATAAATAATTCATAAATTATTTATAAACATCTACAAATCTATGATACATTCTGTGTGTGTGTGTGTGTGTGTGTGTGTATATACACACACACACACCATACTTATAAAGTATGAGATATTTATGAATGGTTCACATGTTCACGAGTATCTTTAGTATAAAAAGTGACCATCAACACTGTTATTAACATAGTGTTGACTATAGGCAGATTATAGCACTCAAGATACAATGTGCAATAGACCCTCCCTGACTCAGGGACCTCACTATCACAGGTCCTGATCCTGCTATTGATAGCACCTATGGACATGGAGTGGTCTGCCTGTGGTACCCCCATTGAAGTCTGTGGATCTCTGGATGGGTGTAGCAATTGGCTCCCCATACCACTAGCTGCAGGCCTAAACTAAACAGACATAGAACTCATACACAGGGAAACCCAGAGGAGGGAGAAGCTGGGCATCAAGAAAGTTAGGTTTAATTCCCAGCCATGCCACAAACTTTTGGGAAGTCAGCACAGCTGTCTGACCCTCAGCTTCCCCAGCTGTAAAATAGGGTCCATAAAACTTACTCCGACTATCTCCCTAGCGGTGTTTAAATTCATAAATGTTTTATAAAGCGACGGAATGAGCTGTCTGGAATGAGCTATAAACACAGAGGTGATTATTACCCAGCAGCGAGGGAGCTCAGTGGGAGGAAGCTGAGAAGAGGCAGAGTACAAGATGCAGGAGGGGAGCAGTGGGGCTCACAGCCTCTCCAGGTCCCTGGGAAGGCAGGGGTGAGGGGAGCCTGCTCCACACCCCCAGATGTGGCAGAGCCTTGGGCAGAAGGGACAGGGCTGGGACCAGGCAGCCTTTAGTGCCACCATGAGAGCTACCCACCCGCAGCCCTCAGCACTGACTGGAGCATACCGCACGGGGCTCTGCAGCACTCCAGCAGCTATACACTAGCATCTGCCACGGCTAGGAGCTCCAGATTCTTCTGTAGTGCCAGGCCCCAGAGCAACTGCCTCCTTTCTCCCTCTTCTGCCCCTAAGGTTACCAGATGGCTTTCAAAAAAATACCGGACACACATGATCTCAGAACAGGAGTGGGGGGTGCTGGTGGGGAGGGAGTCGGAGGGAGTGGAGCTGGCCGAGGGGAAACTGGCTGGTGGGAAGCAGGGCTGGCGAGGAGGGAGTTGGGGGGTGTGGGGCTGGCTGGGGAGGAACCGGCTGGCAGGGAGCGGGGCTGACCTGGGTGCACGCAGATCCTGGGGTGCTTCCCGTCCCACGCATGGTCCTGGCGGGGCGCACGGGTGAGTCCAGCCCCGGGGATTCCATCCCGCCCTGGCCCCACCCCCCTCCTCTCTAATGCATAGCTGTGTACTGCCCGGCTGGTAGACACGCTCACACAGTACGCAACTACATTCTGATACTCATGATAACAATATAACGTACTTAATTAGAAAACACCGGTTATTTATATGTCCGGTATTTTCTCAATTTGTTTCCTGGACAGAAAGCTCAAATATGGGACTTTCTGATTCAAAACTGGTCACTTAGTAACCCTATCTGTCTCCCCATCTGTCCCCTCCTCTCCTGCCCCCCACCATCAGCAGGCCAGGAGGGGAGCAATTGAGCTGAAGCACTTTAGGTGAGCCAGATGCTAAATTGTTCCCCTGTCCTAGTCCTTCTCACTTTGCCTCTTCCTTGGTCCCCTGTCTCTTTTCCCTGGGCTCCACCCTTGATAATGGGGGGGGGGACGACAACGACCAGCTAACAACATAGCTACATAGATGAGACATGCCTTTAAAACAAAAACCTGCTGTGACTGAACGATAATAGTGGCTCATGATGCTGCCAACTGACCAGACTGCTGCTTTGGCCTCTCCTGGCTCTCCTATCCCCGGAGTTCTGCTCCGGTCTGCTACCTGGCACTTCTCCAGAGCTGCCAAGTTCCAGGCAGAGGAAGCCTTGTCAGGGGATGGAAGGAGATTTAGAGCTCTTTACAAGTCTGAGCTGCATGGCGGCAGTGTGCTTTATGAGCCCTGTCAGCCTGCCAAATGTGGCAGCAATCAGCCTGCTGGTGACAACTGGGCGTCCCGGTGCCTGACACATGAGAAAGCAAATAATGCCACAGCACCGGGCTCTGACAAATGCAAAGTGGACAATGGTCCATGTGCTGCTTCTGCATCCAGAGCACATTTGTGCCAAGTTACACCCATTGTCCATATGGCAGCTTTAAAGACAGGCAAGCACCTAG